TTATTGAAAGCAATTAAAAAGTTGCAAGTAAATGGAGAGATAAATTATGTTTATGGATGGGAAGACTCAACTTTATACAGATACTTTCCTCCCCAATTGTTCTTTTCTCCCCAAATTAATCTATAAATTAAATATGATTCCAATAAAAATTACAATGGAATTGAGTGTTTATGACATTTGTCAAGCTAATGCTGAAGTTTATGAAGAAGAGCAAAAAGCCAGGAACAGCCATAAAATTTCAAAAAATCAAGGTTAGAAGACTCAGCTTGCCACATTTCAATATTTACTATAAAGCTTCAGTAATTAAGGCAGTGTGGTGTCAGTGCAGGAAGAAGAATGTAGGTCAAGGGGAGAGACTAGAGATTCAAGAAATATACCCATGAATATGAAAACTTACGGTATATCGCAAATCACTGGAGAAAGGATGATAAATGATGCTAAGGCAACTGGTTATCAGCAAAGAAAAAATTAGATCCCTAACTCATATCATACACAAAAATCGATTTCAGGTAAAAGAAAAGACCTAAAAGAAAACATTAAAACTAAAATGTGAGAACATCTTTATGACCAGAGGGAATGGAAAAATGACTTATGACACAAAAATTCATCTTAAAAAATAAGACTGATAAATTTGACTACCTTTAACTCAATAACCTCTCTGCATACAAAAGCACCATAAACAAATGGAAAAGGCAAAGTACAGCCGGGAAGACGCTCATTAGGATCTGACGAGCTCCTAAGAATTAATAAGAAAGAAACAAATAGTGCAAAGGTTAAAAGGGCAAAAGCAATTCACAGAAGAGGAAACTCACATTGCTAATGACTCCAAAAAGTTGCTTTCCCTCATCGGCAATCAGAGATGACAAGGAAATGTCATCTACACTCATTGGACTGGCAGAAATGATTAAATCTGACAGTACCAAGAATGGGGTGAGGACATGGAGCGTGGGAGCCCTCACATACTCCTGGAATGAGAGTGCACGGGTAGAACCACTGTCAGAGCCGTACGGCGTGCCGAGTACAGGTGAGCATGCATTTGTGTGTGATGCAGCTGCTGCACTCCCACGTGCATTCAGCCAGACACATGTCACAGAGTATCCACAGCACACTGCTATGAAATAAAACATGGTAATACAGGAAGTCTCAACAATGTTTGTGAAGATTCACATCTGGGCGATGGGTACCACCACAGGCACTTGTTTTAAAGGCAGTGATGTCAACTATCACAAATTCAAACAGGTGAATCAGACCCCTTTTAGAACTCGTGGCATCACAGAGTGAGGATGCCAGGCTCGGGACCACCTGAGGAAGGTTTTGATGTCTTTCCTTATGAAATTTGCTTATTCTCCTTGACCCAAGACCTGAGCAGCCCCTGACTACGTTACTGCATCTCTGTTCTCCTCTTCTGGGCCCGGCCCCACCCTGTCACTATGTAGGCGTGATGGACAAATTGACACTGACCTCAGGACTCTGTTTTTACAAGGACACTGAGTAAAGCAGGAGCCTCTCAGTGAAAAAAAACAAAATCTCTGCACTTCTCTTCAAGCCAACATGGTGCATTTCACAGTTATTTTAGTACTTCTTAATGAGGTAACATTACCACTCAGAAAACCCCAACAATTAGCACTTTACCAGAGATCACTGATGAAATACTTTGTGTCCCAACTCTATTGCTTTCCATACCCTGTGAAACTGCTAGTCCTTATTTTCACAAAGCTGTAGAAAAAAAAGTAATTATTTCAAGAGTCTAAGCCAGCAGTAAACAGACAGATAAGTAATAGTGTAGAGTACTTTGGCAGGATTGAAACATTAACGCAGATTAAAAGCCACATCGTGCCCAAGACCCCTTCCTGGAGTAAACTTTATCACACAGGATTAGGATGCGTGCGTTACTGTGGGACACAGAGGATCCCAGGATGTTCTAAAGAGCACCAAACAATGCTGTCTATTCTATGACTCTCGCTGGTTACCAAAGGATAAAGAAAGCTAACTGTCTTGGTGCCAGCCCTGGAAAACGAGGTCACTACCAGATCCAGGAGGAAGTTCACCATAGTCTCGATTGGGTCCTTAGAAAGAATGGGAACTCCAGACAGTACAGCAATTGTTTTAGGCTGGAAATATTTTCAAAACAGCTTCTAGCGGGAGCTGGTGTCAGTTTGAGCTAACCAGCTTCAAAGCCTGTCAGATTTCCATGCGCTGGAGAAGATCTGTTCTCCCGGTCCTTTTCAAATTCTGATGTGCTTTCCTGTCATTCGCTTTGAAACATCTCTAGTTTTCCCTAATTGTTTCAGCAGTGGCTCATTGAAAGGCCTTTTAAAATGTCTTTTTATCTTCAATTTATTTATTTCCTTAAATACTTATTTCCTTGTGGGACCCCTAAAGTTTCACATGTTATAAAAGAATGACATGGTTCCATATTTTACTCTGTACGACCTTAGAGGTATTGGTCAATCAGGAGAACGTATCTTTGACAGAGCTCTTTGATTAAATTACTGTTATTCTTAACTAGGGGCTGATTTGTTTCACTATGCCTGATGGTTTCTTCTTAAATCAGCATTTATTTCATAAACCGATCCACCTTATTTTTTGTTCTTTTCAAACTGACAGTTTCAGTATCACTAGTACCTCGTACACTTAGTAAGTATGGGAAAACCTGTTAAAATTTAGTAGGAATAGCTAATCTTATAAAATCTCAGGCATTTGACTACAAAAAGAACTCCACTTTAGTTAGAATAGCTACTTCTCTGGAAAAGTAAAGTAGGTTTCAGGCACACAAAATCATGAAGAAGGTTGAGCAAAGAGTTCTTAGGTACAACACCAAAAGTATGACCTATAAAAGAAAAGAACTGGACTTCATTAAAATTAAATTAAATTAATGAATTTTGTTAATTAAATTTCAGAAAATGAAAAGATAAGCCGAAGACTCTGAGAAAATATTTTCAAATCATGTATCTGATAAAGGACTTTTACCTAGAATACATGAAGGAATCTTACACTTCAGCATGAACAGATAACCCAGTTAAAATCTATGCAAAAGATCTGAATAGACATTATTCCAAAGAAAATATACAAATGGCCCATAAGCACACGAAACGACGTTCAACATCAGTAGTCATCAAGAAAGAGCAAAAAAAAACCCACAATGAGATACCACTTCATACTCACTGGGATGGTAATAATAATATTAACTACAACAGCAATAATAAAGATTCAAAAAGCTCCCTTTATGCAAGGGTTTTACTTACTGAGGTTCCACTTCAGGCCTGTCGTTGTAACCCGCTTGCATGGCTGTCCAACAGGAATAAGGCCACACCACTCACCTTCCAGTCCGGTGTCTACACACAATTTGTGTTTTCCCTGCAGAAGAGAAGGAATGATCATTAAGACGGGAGAAGAAAGAAAGGGACCTTAATGTGCACTGAAGACCTGGGTCCCGTGTACCAGGTACCATCCTAGGAACTTCACGCAGCTTATTATACTTAATTCTAACAACAAATTTATGTAATATGTGCTGAATAATCCTGGGAACTTTCACCTGACTTAATCCTAGCAACAATTTTACAAGATAGTTTATTGGGGCTTGTTTTTTTTTAACCATTTTTTTTAAGTAAATTTACAATGTTGTGTTAGCTTCAGGTATTCAGCCAAGTGACTCAGTTATACACACACACACACACAGATATATTTTTTTTCCAGATTCTTTTCCATTATAGGTTATCACAAGATATTGAATATAGCTCCCTGTGCTATACAGTAGGTCCTTGTTTACTATTTTATATATAGAAATGTGTATCTGTTACCTTCAAACTCCTAATTTATCCTCCCTCCCACCCTCGCCACTTTACCCTTTGGTAACCGTAAGTTTGTTTTCTATATCTGTGAGTCTGTTTCTGGTTTGTAAATAATTTTTTTTTAAGATTCTACATATAAGTGATATCACAGGGTATTTGTCTTT